AACTATTCTAAGATTTCATCTCACGCCAGTCAGAATGGCAAGTATAAAGAATACAAGCAATAAGAAGTGTTGGAAAAATGTGGGGAAAAATGTGCACTCATAATCGCTGGTGGCATTGCAAATTGGTGCAACCACTCTGGAAAGTAGTACAGAAATTCCTCAAAAATCTTGGAATGGAACCAAAATATGACTAGCTATCCCACTCCTTGGTTTATACCCACAGGCCTTAAAATCAGCATACTACAGTTATGCAGCCACATCAATGTTTATAGCAACTCAATTCACAATAGCTAAACTATGGAACCAACCTAGACGCCCTTCAAAATATGAATGGATAAAGAACATGTGGTACATATACACAATGGAATATTACTCAGCTTTAAAGAAGAATGAAATTATGGCATTTGCTGGTAAATGGATAGAACTAGAGAATATCATGCTAAGTGAAATAAGCCAATCCCAATAAACCAAAGTCCAAATGTTTTCTCTGATAAGTGAATGATGATCCATAGTAGGGGGTGGGTAGGGAAGAATGAAGGAACTTTGGATTATGCAAAGGGGAGTGAGGGGAAGGGAGGGACTGTGGGGATTGGAAGGATGGTGGAATGATACAGACATTATTATGTATGCATCATACATTGATTACATGACCAGTGTGACTCTGCACCATGTACAGTCAGAGGAATGAGAAGTCATGCTCCATTTGTGTACAATGTGTCAAAATGCATTCTACTGTCATGTATAACTAATTAGAACAAATTTTAAAAAGTGTCTCTTCTCCCTCCTCTTTGGTACAAGGCATCCAGGACATGGGCATGCTGTCAACACACATCAAATACCTGTTGAGAGAAGGAGTGAAGGAACACACAAATGAAGTAATTTTCTAAGAGAGAGACTTTCCCGCTCTATAATGATCAGAATGAGGATGCTCACATTTAAATTTCTCTAGAAAGATGTTTCTTATATACCTCACATTTCAATAATCAATATTGTTCATTGCAATTCCTTTCATTCCTTTGAGCCTAACATCTCAAAATTCTAACTTTAGAGAAAAACGATAAAGTTAGAAGAATTTTGGAATGGATGGTAGTTTATTTTTCTAGTGCCAAATGAACATTTGAAGTATAGCATTTTTGGCCATAGACTTTGTCCACTGACACCAGAACATTCCAGGAAATGACATTTCAAATAAACAGTTTCACATCCAGTAAACCACAAACACACAAAAAAAGTCTTCAATAGCACTTCACAGCAAATAGCCTTCTGTTGACAGTTACTCGGGAAAGACTGATTATATTTACAAAGCACAAAGATCTCSTTATATTAATTGAGTATAATTTAAGCTGATGGCTTGGGCGAAAGAGTAAATCTTCAAGTTGTGAGAAAGAAGGGCAAGAGAGAAGACACCAGAAGGATATTGCTTAGAAAAAGATTTCAAAATATCAGAAAGCCCCACTGGACCAACACTTCAAATTAACAAGCCACCAAGGGACTCCAACATGCATGCCACACGACACGTCATTCGAGGAAAAGCATCCAGAAGGAGTGTCATTTTTTCTTAGGAAAAAAAATCACTGCAGAGCTTTTCATATTTCACCAATTAAACAGTTTGGGCTCAATGTAATTAAATAATATCATTATGAATCCATTGCTTAGTCCCAAGCCCAAGGCCCTATTTCTTATTCAAGTATATCAGTAATTTTTGTCCAGATCCCACATGGCATATGTTGGRCCCAGTTCTTCCTGTTAAAATACATAGGCAATCTACAAATCAAAATCCATAAATTTAACATGGAAGCATAAGACTTGGTGGGTGCAATTACAGGAAGTGAAGGGCACAGTGGAGACAGGGCACTCAATCTAAGCAAGACGTGCGTGCTGGAAGCAACTAGGAGGAATTTAAGACTCCAGAAAATTTAGTATAAAGATGGAAAAAAAGTGGAGGGGTGAGTGGSTTTTCATCATACAAGAGATGGTGGCTTAAATGTTAAAGGCAAAGGATATTTTAGGGATACCATAGCAGCTGGCCCTAGAATTACATTGGTAAAACTAACATTAAATTAGGAGGCAAAGTAATCGACTCATGGGTGTGGAAGGAAAAAATTTTGTTAAAAAAAGTTATCCTCCCTTATATTAAAAATATGATTCATAGTCATTCTTATTAAATTATAAAAGCTAACATTTACTGGGAATTTGAGTTAGGTCAGGCCCTCTTCTACATATATTATGTGTTCATTTAACTTTCAAAACAACCCTGTGAGGGAAGTCTGATTTTTATCCTCATTTCACAGATGATTACACACCTAGGAAATTGCAGGACTGAGAAGTGAACCCAGGCAGCTGGTTCCAGAGGGGTGTGTGTGTGTGTGTGTGTGTGTGTGTGTGTTTGTGTGTGTGTGTTAAGTATATCATGTTCTGCTTCATAAACACGTACTCAAAATAAATGTCATTCTTCATTTTATTCACATGTTTACATACGTTTTTCAGAAATCTTTCAGAGGTAGAGTTCTGAATTGAAAAGACTGATTACTAGCTATCAAAAGCAACTGAAGTCAATGTGCTGTCAGAGAGGGAAGAAAGATATCCGGTTCACCTGGGCATGGTACTTGACATTTATCTATGCAATTGAATTGAACTCAACTAACCGTGATTTAGGGTCCCATGCTGAGTGTCAGAGCATRGAGATTCAAAGCCTAGAGAAGACACAATTTTTATTTCAACCTAGAGCAAATAAAATACTTGGGAGGCTTACAACTGACTAGAGATGAGGAAAATGAAATCCAGAGAGTTCAAATGACCCGCCTGGGCCAAAAAAAGCAGTTTGTAGCACAGAGTCACCTAAAATCAATTCAGATGAATCTCGTTTCTCTTTCTTCTTCACCATTCCACTTCCAATCAAGTTGGTTGAATGCACTGAACTTAATTTCCAGAAAATTTTCTGCATTCTATAAAGAGGAAAAATGTTTTTGCTTCTGTCTTCTTTACTCTAGAGCCCACCTCATTCTGGAACGATGTGAGGCAAGAAAAAGAGAACATTTTTTAGGGAATGGGAAAGAGGAGAGCATTCATGGAGTTTCTCAGATCTTGTCTGAAGGAATGTAATTTTTGGTTTTACTTGATGGACAATTCCTCTCTCCAGTGCTACCCATTCTAAAAGTAGACATTGAAGCTATGTGTATATTGATGATTATGCATGTATGTGTGTGTGTGTGTGTGTGTGTGTGTGTGTGTAGGTCTTCAAATCTCTTGTATGGCTCTTAAGAACAGAGGACATATTCTAAACTTCTCTGTGTGCCCAGCTTTCACAAAGTGCTTTAGGAAAAGCATAGTAGGTGCTCTACGACTCTTTTCTGTCACATATGGTAATGATGATGAAAGTATATGTATATGTAATGTAGGGTTTCAAGTGTTTCTTTAAAGAAAAAAAATCCTATATTCAAGTAACCTAGAGATTTTTTTAGTACCTTATTTTAGTGTTTCTCAAATTGGAACTATTATCCTCCCTCTCCCAAGGTCATTTGGCAGTGCCTAGAGACATTTTGGTTGTCCTAATTTGACGGGGGTAGGTGTTACTAGCACCAAGTGAGTAACAGTCAGGAATGCTGCAAAACATCTTACCACACAGGAGACACACCATACAACAAAATGTTTTCTGATTCAAAATGTCAGTAATGCTGAGACTGGGAAACCCTGCCCTACTGATAAGTAAAAACATGCAGAACCATCTTTGCAAACCCACTTCAATCTAATGTATGAAMTATGATATGTCATGAGCTTTGTAATGTTGTGAACAACCAATAAAAAAAAATAATAAAAGAGAAAACACAAGTAAGCCAGGCATAGTCGAGCACACCTGTAATCCCAGYAACTCGGGAGACTGAGGCAGGAGGATCGTGAGTTCAAAGCCAGCCTCAGCAACTTAGAGAGGCCCTAAGCAACTCAGAGAGACTGGGTCTCTAAATAAAAAATAAAGAAGAGTTAGCGATGTGGCTCAGTGGTTAAGTGCCCCTGGGTTCAATCCTCAGTGCCAAAAATAAATGAATAAAATTAAAATTAAAAAACAAAAGTAAGATATAAATCGAAATACTACATCAAAGATCTGCCTGAAATAAGACCATTTTAGCAATCTATTATTAAGAAGATGAACATTTTTCATATGCCTGTTTATGAGATTAGAAGGATTTGCTAAAAAGAGTAGGAAACACGAAGTAAGACATATGCTCCCAAAGAAGCAGTGCAATGTTCTGATCTTTACTACATCTGAAAACCAGGTTACTCCACAGTTATGGTACAAGACGTTCTACTGATAAGCACTTCAAACACCACCACAGGTCTGATTCAGGCATGGAACTTTCAGTTCGGACTATTTTGTCATTTCTAACCACACTCAAAATCCACCTATTTGGCCAGCGCACAGAGAAAATACATGTAATTTGTTTGCAAATTTGGTCACTGAATTAAACTGCTTTTGCTATTAGCCATCCCCTTTTATGTCTCRCCATCTGACCCACATCTGGGTTTACCTGGAAGGTCCAATTTCTCATCCCAGATTCCTGTTGTGTCTGGAGGAATCATTCCTGAGTCACACTCTTTAATTTCTACCTTTTTCGTTATCCTAACAGCTTGGAAATGTCTTAAGATGAAGAAGGAAAGGAAGGAGGGTAGCTGCCGACCTCTCGGCACTTGGTCATGGTTTCCTTGCACAGTCTCTAGGTGATGGGTTACATTTGCTTCAGTTTTATTTGCTTGTTCATTTTCCCCAGTGGCTGATAATAACATGTGATACTTTGGATGTCTGGAGAACACTCAAATAAAAATGTCTTTCTTTAAGGGAATAAATTAGTTCTTTTCTGGGAATCAACAACAACAAAAAAATATAAACCTCAGGAGTATCTTTGAACACACCATAGGAACTAATCTGTTAAGAATTTTGTGTATTAAGTTCAACATGTCACTACTGAGATCCTCACGCCTTGGTGAACAATTTTCTAAATATTTACCGAGATCTTTAATAAGTGAGAGTGCTTCCCATGATATGAAGGCTCCACCACCATCATCCATGGCACCCTGCCCAACATCCCAGCTGTCCAGATGTCCGCTGACCAGCACAACCTAGAACAAATAAAAGACACAAACTAAGCAAGTTGACATCATAGGCATCAGAAACACAAAAATGAAACTTTTTATGTTTCCTTTTCTATTTTTATATCTATCCCACTAGCAGAAAACTTGGTATAGCAGCATTGCATAAGGAGTCTAAGGTCATTTTAATAGTAATAAAAGTCCTCTCCTTATTAATAAATGAGTACTAAAGAAATTGGTTTAATATTGACAGATGTTTGGTAATTTTATTACATGAATTAAAACTAAAATGTACTTAAAACTTCAATCATATTCTTAATTGTCTCTCATTTTAGAATACACATAATAAAGAAGTATCAAATTGAATTTGAATGGAAAAAGGGGAATAATACTTTATTTATTTATTTATTTTAACATTCACTTTTTAGTTGTAGTTGGACACAATACCTTTTATTTTATTTATTTATTTTCATGTGGTGCTGAGGATCAAACCCAGGGCCTTGCACATGGTAGGCAAGCACTCTACCGCTGAGCCACAACCCCAGACCTAATACTTTGTTTTTAAAGACTGTATTTTATACATTATATTTTACTTTTGGTGTTGAATAATTAAGTAGCTAGATTTAAAAATTAAACTCGTTGAATGGAAGAACTTTAAGACAGATTTCAATTTACATTGGTTTTAAATAAACCTAGAGATTACATGATGAATTTTAAATTACCGTAAGTCTAAACTGTTTTTCAAGAAACATTATTGTCTCTAGGAATATATTAAAAAATGTTTCTGTGGAATTAAATTTTATGGGCACATTTCAAACACATTAAAAACTAAATAAAATGATGATAGGATGTTGATATGAAAAAATATGCCCTGATTCCTACAATGTAATATAATAAAGACATATCAAGTTAGATGGATTATAGAGCAAAATAAAGGTTTTAGAGACATGAACAGAGTAGCTTTGCCAACTTAGAGTAGGCAAAGATTTCTTAAACTGGACACAAAAATCAGTAGGGAAGCCTATGACCTCACAGTCCCTTTCCCAACTATTAAGGTACCTCCAACAGGAGTGTGTGTGGGTGGGGGGGGTGCATATGTGTATATATGTGATTAACAAAGAGATGTACTAGAATGTTCCTAACAGAAAATCCATAAGAGCCCCACCATCCTCCCAAAAGGAAATGACTGGAACACCTGCTAACAGTAGAAAGAATAAATTGTTTTCTTGAATAGGACACTGCACAGCAATAAGAATGAACAAATACAATACACAATAAATGTGGATAAATTCATAAACATAATGAAGGTTGAAAGAAGCCAGATACAAAATAATATACTGTGCACAATTCCATTTATATCAAGCATAAAAGCCAGCAGGAAAGTGGTTCCCCTTGGTGAGGAGGGCTGGTGACAGGGAGGGGGTCTGAGGCGAGCTTCTCGGGGCGGGCCATGCTGTTTCCTGATGAGGGTCCTGGTTGAGCAGGCATGCTCAGTTTGCAGAAGTATGTCTTATCATACACTTAGCATTTTTGCTCTGAGAATATTACACTTCAATATGAAGTCTAAAAAAAAGTTCAACAGATTGATATCTATGCACAGCATGTAGTAATAAGCAAACCAAAATTGAACCAATCTTCTTGATAGTTAAAATAAAAATTCCCCATTATACCGAGAAAGCAGGGACTTTGACCTAAAATATCAGGGTGGCCCTTTGTATTGCCTGGTCCCCTGAGCAGCTGTGGTCTATCCCTTTGACTATATGCAGACCCAGCCTAGTATGACCTCATTGTAGTCACAAACAGGGATAATGCCCCAGACTAACAAGTGGCCATGTGATGGACCCAAATGGATTGTTTCTAAGGGGCAGGGGGAAAAACAAAACAAAACAAAAAGAAAGAAAAAGAATCATGGTGATCATGGTGCAATAGCTGGAACTTTTGATTTAGAGTGTGGTGTAATCCCATGTGAGACAAGAGAGCATAATTAGTCAACATTCTCATCAATTTCACAACCATTTTTTCAATAAGGTTGCAGTGGATTAAAAATGGCAAAATGTGTTCTAATGAACTTTTTCTCAGATAACACTTTTTCTCGGATAAATAAAAGTTACAAAATCAAGAAAGTTATTACTTTATCCTTCAAACTTCCTTCACAATATCTGGGGTTTTATAATCATACTTTGTTATGTTTTCTTAAGTGCCTCCTTTTTCTAAACCAGAATTATTACTTACACTCAGTAGTTAAAAGATGGTTTTCAATAATAGAAAACTAAATGATATCTCATAGGATAAGGTCTTTGATACAACACTATAGAAGAATAATTATATGTCATTTAGCTTGTGAGAGATTTTTCCAAATAAGAAAAAAATTGGAGGCCACAATACTATAGCTATAATTTCAATATCTACTGATTTTAAACTAGGTAATAACAAAAAAAATACTTCTCATTCATCAGCATTTTTTAATGGACTTGAATCTTTCTATTATAAGAACTTCTGCATACACTTAGAAAATAGTAGTGCAAGAAGGTTTCATTCAAAATGGTGTCTGGCCAACATTTCTTAACACAGTCTGAAAAGATACCCCATAAAAATATACAGAACTCACGAAGCTGCTGAAAAATCTGCCTTAGGTCAAGGTCAGGCATAAATGAAGTTTAATTATAATGAAGTTGGACCTGACTTAAGCAAACAAAAACAGACTACCCTGAGCTGTAGTAAACTCGTTTCATGAAAGATAATCACCTGGAAGAAGTCAGAAAACACACAGTTCCTTCACTGCCTCCCTTGCCAGATATGGAGCCCCTAGAGCAAAAACATGGCCTAGAGCCAACAGAGACAGATGTGGGCACCTGTGTCTCTCCTCCTCTTGTACTGTTCCCTGAGGCAGCAAGAGCACTGACCAATTCTTTTCCCCCTGACTTGCTTTCCACCACCATCTCTTCCAAAGGCAGTACAGAGTTAAAATGATTGAAAACAACAGCAACTTCAATAACAGCCCAAACAAAACAGCTGGGAAGACAGAATGGGGGGTCCAGCGCTCAGGGATGTCCAGCTTATTCATTGTGTGGCAGACATTGGCTCTGACTCCCAAAGGCTTTGGGAAGAATCCAGCATGACAGGGCATAAATGCAGAGGGTGCAAGGTTGCTGGGGTGAGGAATCAGCCTGGCAATGGCACAGCCACCTGAAGGTCTGTGGTAGGTCTCCCAGAGATGAGCTGGACGAAAGAATGGAAGGATGGTGAGCAGACCCAAGACAAGCCCTCTCTCCCTTGTTACTGGCACTTACGGAGACACTGAATCCAAATGGATTCACCTGACTAAAAGATTTCTAAGCACATGATCAAAATATGGTGCAACAAGAGAGGACAGTCTCAGGGGAACTGCATTTTTATGAATTGAGCTAATGCAAGATCCAGAGAAAATGTCATGATCTTTGGAATCTGTTGATGATTTCCTTCAACCATCTGACTGAGTTCTGATTAAGTGGTGAAGATACAGAAATGAACAAAGTGGAATTACATTCTGCTGGGGGAGACGGAAAACAAACACACACACAATATCAGGACAGTGTTAAGTGCCATAAAGAAAACTTAAGACAGAGAAAGAGAACAGAGGGATGTTGGCAGGGAGTGGACGGAAAAATGAAGCTGTGTTAGATAGAAATGTGGGGGGCGGGGGTCTCTTCCTAAGGAGATGACATTTGAATAGAGAACTGCAGGAACACAGAAAGTGAGCCCTGAAAAATCTGGGGAAAGAACATTCCCAGCAGCATGGAAACATGTAAAAGCTCTGAGTGGCAACACGGGTGACCTGTTTGAAGGCTGGCAAGAGGGCTGCTGCCACTGGAGCGGAGATGGCAGGAAGGGAGAAGTGGCCAGAGGGATGCTTGAGGCTGCAGAAGCAAGGAGGAGCCTGTAGGCCACACGGGGAACTTGGACCCTATTCTAACTGGGAGGAGAAGCTGGGGGGAAATCACAGGACCCAGTTGATGCCTAAATATTGTTGCTAGTAGGGAGAAAGAGTGAAGGAGGAAAGGAAGGCAGGCCAATTTCACAGAAAGTAATTCATCAGAAATCAATTTGCAAGGGAAAATCCGTCTGTTCCCTCTTAAAATGTACAGTCCCGGGAGAATGGTGTCCCCACCTAACAATGACAGAAACCTGGATAGTCCATGACATCATACCTTTTAAAGTGTGGTTCGAGATTCAACAAGATGGACAGAGCTCCCAGGGATGACAAGCCCTTCCAAAGAGAGGTGGGACCCAAGAACTGTTCTGCCTTTGGCCTGACAGGAAGGAAAGGTGGACACAGTGGAAAGGAAGAAAGCAAACAAAATGCTAATGAATTCTGAGAGGGCAAATGTGGGTTGGCCTGAGAGTTCAGAATTTCTGGAAGTCCCACGTAAGGGCCCTCGGTGTCCATTTTCTACATCTTTTTCACAGGCCTCTGTTTAGTGCTCTCAAGAAAAATTGGAAGCCTGGCATTAGCCCTGGGACAGCCTGCCCCTGGGGTGCAGGGGTACAGGGGTGCAGGTGATGGCCGACGCTGCTGGGAGGTGGCCCACAAACATGACTCTGGGACCCTTCTCTCCCGTGAAACAGGGCCATCTCTCTGAGGGAGAAGCAGAAAACTGTTCTGCATGCCAGCTGCAGAGAAGGGTCAGTGGCCACGGGCAGTGGGGTAGGAAGTGGCACTCCTGTCCTGCATTGACACTGGGGCAAATGTGTGTGCTTCCTGGCCTCTGGAGAAGGGCAGGAAGCCTACTCAGGCCCACAGTGCTGCATAGACAGACAGAATGATGAGTCCTACTGCACTGGAAAGGGGCATGGAGGCAGGAAGGGGAGCAATATGTTGAGGAAGCCCACCCTTGAACTCAGGCGTACAGGGCTAAGACCAAGGGGTAGGAGGACCAAGAAATCACCCTGTCCCCATCAGGCTGAGTCACAGGCAGAGCAGAAACAGTTTCTTGCCAGGGAAGGCAGGAGCACAGAGATACACCTTCTGCAGTGCAGACACAGAGAGCCTG